ATTATATTATTATTATTATTATTATTATTAGTGTTTGATATAATTGACTTACCAATGTCATGAATGAACCTTTCTATTTTATTTTGCATTCCCCAATAGCGGAACTCTACTTTACACAGCTTATATGCACACATAATTTTGGTACTTTTGTCTTTTAACCACTCTTCAGTCAGGGGACCCCGGCCTGTTTTCTGCGATTTATAAACACGTGGATCTTCTTCTCGTTTGTACTCACCACTGGGAATTTGCTCTTTAACAACATCTATAAGATCTGATGAAGAGATGGAAAACAACCTAAGACAATCTTTACAACTCCAGTGGAGATAAGTGATTATTTAAAAGAGATTCTTCCTTTTTTGTTTATGCTAGAAATTAGCCATTGGCGAGAGATTTGCATGGAGGATTGTCATTTATACATTTTTACAAATAACTGGTTACAAAGACGAGTAACAAAGACCTCTGCACTCGATTCAAACATAATGAGATACCCAAACTAATATTTTTCTGAACAAGAAAGAAGTGCTATCACTAACAGGTGCACATACAAACTACCTGCTACAGCACAAAATTATGTACTGAGAAAATAAAAAATAAAAGAATCATGAAAAAGAATATATGTTTAAATATATGTGGTATATTTATCATACAACAAAAACAATGAAGACAGCCATTGTACCTACAATATTGATATGGACAAAGTAAAAGTGAAAGACTCTTGTTGTCATGGTGTTTTGGTATGGAAATGTAAACTGTTAAATCAACTTTATTTTGATGAAGTCATAGAAACACTATGATCATGGTAAATATTTTATAATACATGTACATTACAATAGTGTAGTTATGCAATATTAATAATTCATATAAACAATTGTTACCATGGATAATACATGTATGCAGGTATGGATGTTTATTCAACAGTTCTAGTAATTATTAAAATATGTAATGTTTTTTAATAAATTCCAAAACATGGATACAAAGTCCTGTGTGGTGACATAAAATATTAAGAAGATGTGTGGCTTGGTCATGTGATTTACGAGCAGCAAATCAGATTTGAACAATTTGAACATGTGCAAGTCACATGATTAATAACCAGCTAATCAGATTTTTATGTCAATATACATTCATACACTGACCTGTCCAAGTCCTTTAACTTGTCGATGCAAAACATTTTTCATGTACCGTAAAATCCTGAATTGAGGCCGCGGCTTTAATTAAAATTCCTTTTTTCAATGGACGAATTCAGATGCGTGAAGTCTTGGTGCGGCTTTAATTAGAGCATTCACTTCAGCAATAGTGAGAAATTTTTTCAAAAAACAAAGGCCAGAAGGGATAATGATATGCTAATGAGATGCACGACACTCGATTGCAACTTTGTTGCGATTCTAAGCGCACTTTCGGATTTTTACACACAGACAAACTTGTACACAAACGAAATTTCACACTGTATAACATACTGCACAATAAATAATATCTACAAATAGATTTGTATGCATTTTAAGATTACGGTACCGTATACTACAATCTCTTGAATAGACTAATTTGTTAGCACCGATATAGGTTACAACTGAGAGACAGCCGTCTGACACAGTCGATTGTGTTCGACTACTGGCATGTTTGACTTCCGGCAGAGTGACTGTACATTCGATGTTTAACTTAAACATCTGGGAAATTAAAATAAAAAAAGTCCATCAAAAAAAAAATGTTCGCATGATAAAAAAAAATACTCAGTATATTATTTAATGTAATATATATTTATTTTCTTATTTTTTTTGAAAACGAAAAGTATATTCTAAAAGAAATAAAAACAAAAACGAATACATTCTTAGTAGCAAATGATCACGGTAACGGTCATGCTGCGTGTCACACAAGTGAATAACTTACTTGTTTTCGAAGTGTTACAATTGCTGATTATTACTCAGTAGTGATTACAATAACGTACAAAAAATAAATTCGTTGAATTGTTGTGAAAATTCAACTTAGTTTCACCGCAAGCGAATGATTTCGGTCACATATAAACGCTCGATCCGATACGATATCCGCCATGCTTGTTCAAACATCTTTAGTGACTTGAAACTGTTTTTTGACCTGATAGGTCAAGTCGCTAATTAACCAATCTAAACGCTGGATGGTGCCAACGTGATTAAATTGCCATAGTCATTTAAATATGTAGTTCAGCAACTTCATGGTAAACGAAACACGGAAGAGATTTGTCGTTGTTGTAGTGCGATCGTTTTGATGGGAAAATGGCATGATTTTTTTTTAAATCAAGAAATTAATTGTTTTCAAAAGATAAGCTGAGCATCGAAGAAGAATTTAACACTTTTGACGATAATAACAGCTCATTGTCGAAACGCAGTTTACCCATTCACGCGACCCACAATAGACCTGTACTCTGGAATAAGCGTCAATGACTACGGAAAACCTAAATTAGACTCTAATCTAAGCATCAGGAATCATTGAAATGTTCGAAAAATTATGCCTTAATTTAAAATTAAATGGTACATCTTTTTCTGAAATATGTGGTGGCTGCGGCTTATATTGCAGGCTTTTTCCTGGGATCAAAACTTGTCAATTTCAACATGAAACAATGTCTCAAGTTAGGGGTGCGGCTTCTATTAAAGCTGAGGCCTCAAATATGATTTTTACGGTTATGATGTTTTTAGACATAGTTTCACGTTTTGGTTGTCCTGGTTTGCTCTTGATTTGAGCGGGCATGCTTTGAGAAATTTGATTCGTGCTTGTGCAATTTGATTTTGTGCAATCTCATTGTGGCATGAATAACTTACCGACTAATCTGTTTCTCAATTCAGTGGAACTGAGATCAAATACATTATCTCTGGTGCCACAATCAGCAAAGTATCGGGTTTCTATTTCTAGTGAAAACTTCTCTACAAATGGACAAGTGTATCTCGTCTTGGTATAAGGGTAAGCGTTCCATGCTTCTTCTTCCACGCGTAGTGCTGACTTTGGAAGAATAGCACGAAACCAGCCTTCAAGGAAACATTATAGAGTATATTAGAAAGCAGTCAAGTCTTTTATTTCTGTCATTTCAATTCATTTTTAACAAGCAGTGGATTAATTTGCGGACTAATGATCGTATGGATAAAACTGTTTACTTGTTTTTGGTTTTGTAAAAGGTTTTATGTAATACAAACATGAAATTTTAACTGTTATTTTATAGTTGAAATATAAAAACTCAACAAAATGGACACAAAAAAAAGATTTAGGAAGGATTATAGTTCCTGATAAGATTTTTTCATGGCCAGTTGTAATATCTGACTTATTTGCACTTACTTACTTTGTACTTAACATAGAATGCTACACAAAAATAAAAATATTGTCATAAATATTCCTAAATCTATTTTTGTTTTTGTTGGAAAAGTAACATAGTAACAACTATTGGCTCCTTGATATCAAATTTATGGTCTTGTTCTTACCCTGCAGTCCCATATTCACCACAAGTTCTGTTCTCACCTAACAGTCCAGTTCCCACCCAACATTCACACATCACAGTCCTGTACAAACTCAAATCCCATTCTCACCTTGCAGTCTCACTCCCACACCAGTTATGTTCTCACCTCATCTAACAGCCCTGTTGTCACCTAACGATCCAGTTCTCATCTAAAGATCCTGTTCTCACCTAACATGCCAGTTCTCATCTTACGGCCTCAGACTCATTCTCGCACAAAAGACTCATTCTCGCACAAAAGACTTGTTCTTGCACAACAGACTCGTTCTCGCACAACAGACTCGCTCTCGCACAACAGACTCGTTCTCGCACAACAGACTCGTTCTCGCACAACAGACTCGTTCTCGCACAACAGACTCGTTCTCGCACAACAGACTCGTTCTCGCATCACAGAGTCGTTCTCGCATCACAGAGTTGTTCTCGCATCACAGTCGTTCGCGCATAACAGACTCGTTCTCGCGTAACAGACTCGTTCTCGCGTAACAGACACGTTCTCGCGTAACAGACACGTTCTCGCGTAACAGACACGTTCTCGCATAACAGACACGTTCTCGCATAACAGACACGTTCTCGCATAACAGATTCGTTCTCGCATAACAGAGTCCTTCTCGCATCACAGACTCGTTCTCGCATCACAGACTCGTTCTCGCATCAGACTCGTTCTCGCATAACAGACTCATTCTCGCATAACAGATTCA